AATGTAATCTATTGCATAACTTGCACTTATTGCAAAAAGATATACATCGGCGAAACAGGCAGAAGACTAGGTGACCGATTCCGAGAACACCTTCGCAACGTGGAGAGGAATGACAAGGACACATCAAAACCAGTCGCTAGACATTTTAATTTACCCAATCATTCTAAGCAACATATGGCAATCTGCGGTCTTTCCTTACACTTTGGTAGCACGGAAAGCCGTAAAACTCTTGAACAAAAGCTCATCTTTCAAACCGGTAGTCTAAATCCCACAGGTATCAACGAACGCTTTTCATTGCACTTATTTATTCGTGTTTTTCTCGTTGCCATGTTCCTACCAATAACGTAGCTGCATTTCCCTCCTTTAAAAGCACACACAACCCACAATTCCTCTATTCGCTGCGACGAAGGGCTAACGCTCGAAACGTCAGCTTTTATAATCGTAACGGTGGCCAATTCACCATTTCAACTTTGTTGATATATTCAAAAAAGTAACACTACTTAGCTTGCTTTATACATTGACAAAGTTCTCTTTTGTTAAGGGTGCTAGAGTTCATTTTTCTGGGTGCTAGAGTTCATTTTTCAAAGTTCATTTTTCTGGCCTTTTTGTAATCTTATTCAGATTACAGTTCAAGGTATGTAAAATTAATTTTTTTGGCATTCAAAAGAAAAATAAACTCTTATGGTAAAGCATAACCCCTCAGCACCCCCTGGCTTATGCCCAACAATAATTTCAAAATTTTGTGATTATAGAATGTGTAAAATTAATGGATACAAGAATACAAGAATGATGAAAAAGGGACTTTTTTTGGCTTAAAATTTAATCGTAAAGGTGCAACATCTTCATTATAGTGTTTTTTTCTTGGAACTAAAATTCATCTCAGTCTAGCTACTATAAATTAAATTCAAAACTAATCCATATAATCAACCTAATTCATCTTTTCACAGCTAGATATGTAGCACTGAATTGCTTTTAATTTAGCCTTATGTAATTATTGCACCAGTCACATGTATGTCTATGAATTCAACATAACACTTATCTAAACTGGTAAAGTGAAATCCCATCTCAAGCACCAACTATCTTCAGTTGACTGTTCTTGTAGTTGTGAGAGCTCTTTATGCCAATGAACAGAATGAGAGGGTTTTTGGCTGGCCAAGGGCTGCATGGGGTACAACTCTTCACCACAGAAGAGAGCCTAATTGCCTCTGAACAGGCTAGTTCCTTTCTTACCTGTGCTGATAAAAAACTGGTTTTTTTTCTTTTTTTTTTTTTCTTTTTTCGAGCCTCTACCATTAATTATATATTCTTGAAAATTAACTTTCCCTTTGGAGCACTTTTCAAGTCAAGTTTTGTAAAACGAAAACCAAAGCATTCTGAACTGTGAATCAGCGCAAGGAAAATGTCTTATGGATCCAATGAGAACTCAAATTTAAAACAAGCAAACTGTCTAAAGCAGGAGAAAACATGGGTGACAAACTCCTAACTGATTTAGTTGACAGATATGCATCTGACTTATTTACATGTAAAAGGTGGCACCAAAATTTTATAAACAATCACAGAGGGTGAAGCCAAAACAAAAACTAAATAAATGCAATTCCACATTGCTTTTGATGAGGGAACTTAATATTAATAGCCTCTGCAATTCCAACTCCATGAGAATCAGCATCATCAGCCTCCATCCAGCTGGAGTAGCCAAAAAAAACCAGCTGCTTCAACTGATATACTTGAATCAAGCCATCACTAACTTTCTCCTGTTTCTCTTGGCAACACTTGTTGGCATATCTGACAGTTGCAAGATGAGACCAAAAGCCTTGAAACACATTCAGCTGGACAGGAAAAACAAATGAAACCTGTTAAATGATACTCATGCATCCCTCTTGATCATGTAAATGCTATTAAGGGGCAGGGTTCGACACTAACTTTTCAACTTACTGGCCAAGTGGCTAGCGACGTCTTTTTTAGAAGTTACGACAATTTCAGTCTTGAAAACCACTAGCCAAAACTGAATTTCTATTGGTCTGTGGCTTGTGGGCTACCGTTAGTGTGAAGCCCCGAGGGGTAGGGACTTCTTTAAACCCTTTCAAAACAAAATAAAGAAAAAGAAACTTTGATACTTGCCCTACATGGCTTACCTAGTCTGGTCAAAAAGAGTAATGGCCTAGTCAGCTGACTACCTCACTTGGTAACATCTAATAAATTACTTTAAATTCCATACCTGGAAGGTATTCATCTAACAATACAATGACATCGGGTCGGCTTATTTCATGAAGTGCCCATATAAGATTGGATAGGGTCAAATTTGGATTAAAGCCTCCAAGATGGCGAATCAGTGCCTCTGTAGGACTTTTATTTTCTTCTTGAGTGGGTAAAAGGTCATCCAAAGTTTCAGTCTTAATCTTGAGTCGCTTTCCAAGTTGTTTCAATCCAGACACTGTGGTGGTGCGAGTTTTCTGATTGAGCAAGTCACACACTTCCTCCATGATGTCAACATCTGCAACCAACTCTTTTATCACTGATTTCTTTGTGACTATGAAAACAACAATTGTGATAAGCACAACTACCAGAAGGTTATCAAATGTTAATTTTTTAAATAATTATAATAATTCACCTATGACTTACATACCACAAAACTTTTAAAGCTGCTTATTAGAGACAAAATAATGAAATTCAGAGTAAAACTGTCAAGCTCTTGTTGTTTTTATTAAAAACAATTCTGTCAGTTGGAATAACAAAGATCATCATGGTAAATTTTTGCACTCAGCTGATGTGAAACAGAGACAAATACTCTTTTGTCTTATCATGAGAGTGAAAAAATAATTACCAAGTTTCTTAACGATTACATTTATGTACATGGTAATTTGACACTGCTGATCGTAGAAGTATACAAGATATGTGTCACATTAGAACCTAAGTAATAACCTTGCATGCTTACTGTAAAGTCTCAGTGGTAGAGCATCGGAACATTAATGTAGAGGTCCGGCAATCAGGTGCAATTCCTCATGGGAACTCAGAAGTTTTTTCTTTTTCCATGTTTACCTTCTTTATCTAATTCTGTTATGGAAATTCAGTATACTTTAAGTATATTTCAAGTATACTCAATACGAACATTCAGGAAAATAAGTACAGCTGAAGTATACTTCATTTGAACTTGAAAACAAAGAAGTACAAATAAAGTACATTTAGTTGACATGCTTCATTTATACTTAAAATACGTTTCAAGTATATTTTTTTAAAGTGAAATTGTCACAGTCAAAACTGGAGTATACTTGAAGTATACTTTCAAACTTGAAAAAGACATTTCCATCAAGTTTAAAAAAGTCTTTCTAACAATAAAGTATACGTAAAGTACACTTTCACCCTACTTTCTATTTGGGTCATGTATTTAAATGAAAAGGTATACTGTTTGATAAAGTTACTCTTCAGTACTGCACATTTCTAGGTAATGAGAGAGCTTCAATAGCCAATAAGTGCCCAAGAAGGCAGATCAATGGGCCGAATTGTGCAGAATGCCTTCACTTGCTTGCAGAATTAAGAGAGCTAAGGGAGGCAAATAACATACTTACTGAGCAACTAAGTCAATGCAGGGAGGAGTCAGCAAATGCTCTCCAGAAGAGTGATGCCCCCAGACCAGGAAAAGTGTCAAGGGCTCTTTCATGACTCATCAATTTCCCCTGAAAGTCACCAAAATTAATTCCATGACCCCTGAATTCCTTTGAAAGCTTACTTTCATGATGCATAAATTTCTTTAAAGTCTTCTTTCACGACCCATTAGTTTCCTGAAAAAGTTATCAGAATTAATTTCATGCCCCATGAATAGCAATCAAATAATTCCAAGAAACTCTTAATACCTTGAATGTAAAGGTTTTAAGGCAAGGAGTAATTTTAGAGGCTTAAAACTTTGTTTCAACAAAAGGTATGCTACACAAAATGTACCAAGAGATATACATACATGTATATGTTTTCATGAAATTTATTATTCAAAGTAAGTTTTAGTAAAACTTAACATTAATAAGCATTTTTGAATAAAGTAGCAGTCAATTATGTTAATTGCAAATTGTCAATCATAGATTTGCTTTCTAACCTCAAAGGCCTCTTGAATTCCATAATCATGCATAAAAGTTTTTGTTGCGATGCAAAATGTCTAATGTCCACAGATGTGCCATACTTCGGAATGGGCAATGTGCACATCCATTTGTAGGCAAGAATTCCAATGCCTCATGGTCGCGTCCTTCTCTTGTACAAATGTTTCTTCGTTGAGACACACCTGACTCTGTTGGTACCACTGCCAGTTCAGTGGAAGCGAAAGACAAGGGAATCGAGATGGCTGGGTTGGAACGTATTGTGGTCAACGTAATTTAAAGAAGTTGGAGAAAAGGCTAAACTTCAGAATACCCGGCCACTCATTTACATGTCATTGAATAAGAATAGCATCTATTGTGTTATGCCTCATTCTTCAAAGCCTCCCGACACATGTAAATGATGTGGACGGGTATTCTGAAGTTGCTCCGAGAAAATTAATGAACGTAGCCTACGATTCATTTTTAATGATAATGACAGTGATTATATGCAACTACTTAATCGTGTGCGACAACCATCACTATATTTAATGGGCATGTACATTATATCCTTACATTAGTATAGAAATCTCTTATGGGCTGGCACCGGAATATATTACTAATATGTTTAGTCTAAAAACCCACAGCATTAATCTACGTACTAGTGGTACACATTCTCTTTTTATCCCACGTGTCAATACTACTACATATGGCCTGCACTCTTCATCTTACTATGGTAGCAAACTATGGAACTCCCTCCCCAACAAATGGAGCTTTTAAATCAGCTATTCGTAATTTCGAATTTGATACTGACTGCTGTCCATTCTGTAAATAGTTGTAATTGGCCGTTTTTATGCTATAGAGACGTTAAAGTCGTCTGGTATAAAGACTGGACGTCGTAGACTAGGACGCATTTATGCTTGACTCGTTGTTTGGCTCGGACGGCACACAAACCTATTTTTTTGGCTGTGTCTATTTCATCATCTTCCATCATCTGAAATTTTCGCTTTCTCCATTCACTTTTCTGTGTTACGAACATCTGCATTTCTAAGTAATGCCTTTCTTGGCGACGGCGAGAAACAGAAGTTAAAAGTTGTAACGCCGCCGCCATGTTACAGTTTGAACAATTTGTTCGCATTTCGCGGGCTTGAAGTTCATTTTTGGCGCCGCTTTAACTAGTGTTCAGTGTCTTCCGAGAGTAGCCTAGTCCTTTTTTCAGAAAAATTTACTTATTTCAATAAGGTCGTCTACTTTTGTGCGTCCCGTTTTTACACTAGACGACTTAAAACGTTAGACGTTAAATGCGTCTAGACGACTTTAACGTATCTAGCATAAAAACGGCCAATGTTTATCCTATTGTATCAATTATTTAATTGTATATATTGTCTTATGTATTTGTTCTCCATAACTATTTAATTTTATTTATTTATTTATTTTCTCGGAGATATGAGCATGTTTTTTTTGCTATTTCAAATTCGAGATGAAATAAAGGCTTGTTGTTGTTGTTGTTGTTGCTGAACGCTTGTTACGATCACACTTTGTTGATTTGGGTACCTTGTACACTATGATTATCTAGGTATCTCTTATACTTCCTAAGGTGGTATCCATTCTGTTATAATAATAAGGGTAAAACACGTTTGTAATTACAATTAAAGTTGCGACTGGCTAGTGTTTATATTTCTCACCTTTACCGTGAACACAACTCGAGTCAGGGTTTCAAGTCTTTGTTTCCTCGACAACTTTTGGCCACAAATCGTTCATTGGCAGTGCGTTCGATTCTTCTCGATTATTTCTACATAGTGTGAGTTCACATAATTATTTATATTAGGCCATCCCCTTTTTTTTTCTGTTTAGCGTTGTCCGACCGACCCAGATTTTCGGGGTGTCACGAAAACTAAGACCTAAGACTTAAGACCCCTCGAAAACTAAGACCCATCGAAAAACTTTTGGGTACGGAATATTTTAAAAGAAAGAAGACGTCAAGGTGATCTTTACAACTTGGACACAGTTAATGGAGCGAACTATGACCAGGAGGAGCTACAACTTGGGAGATCGTGAATTTTACTTGGGGTGTTTACATGCAGGCTATTGAGCTGCAAAATTAAATGTTGAATATAGATAAGTACACTTTACGCTGCTAGATTTACACTGTCTGTTTAATTCAGAAAGAAAAAGTGAGCTTTCCGTTTCGCTTTTCACTTAACAATTGGTTCATACGTCAGCGTGCGTTCATCGAGTTATGAAGCACGCGGCAAGTTTGGAGAGCACGAGAGCAACTCTAGCTTCCCAACTGCTTCATATCTCGATGAACGCACAGCTGACGTATGAACCAATTGTTTCATAACATTTTCAACGCTGTAGTTTATGTGTAAATGGCAGATATTCCCTCTCCTACGCTTCAATGCGTTGTTCATTTATTTTGTTTCGGTAAAGTATTTCGCTATGCTTTAATGACCTTGTCTCAGATTGGTCAAAAACTGACAGGCGATTTCCTGCGTGGAAATGAAGTTAGAGTTGCGAAACGAGATGAAACCTGCGTTGATTGTGTTGCACCCTCACGTGTGACTCGCAATGAATTAGCATACATAGTTTAGTGCACGAGCACTTGCAGTGTGCAATATTAGTATATCTGGCTTGTACTTAAGATTTTGACATTTCGTAATTAAAACGTATACGTAATCGAGAGCACCACGCTATCAACATGGAGGCAGCGATTCATAACGGTAAAAGTTCGGGATAAAGAAGAGAGATCATGGCTGTTTCCAATACTCCATTTCCGTGCTTTAAGACGACAGGCGATGACAAACATGACATCGACATTTACACGGAAGATTTGAAAGATTACTGCGTAATGCAAAACTGGTATGACTCTTCGAAGGAAACTGAAGCGCAGAAGTGGACCAAACCTGACAAAGCGATCGCATGTCTTAGAGCATCCCTGCCTCCGGCGGCGAGAGCAATTTACAAATACAGCTTGGGGCTAAGCGACGAGGATCAGAAGAAACCTCACCTAGTTATAGATGTGTTAAGAAAATTTTATGGCGCCAGCATCGGAGTCCCTGGGGAGAGGCAAAAATTTCTCCGTTTACTTCAAGAAGAAAATGAGCCGATTGCTTCGTGGGATACGTGAGTTCATAATCAAGGAGCACAGTGCGAATATGAGCAATTTGCAGACGAACTTATGAGAGATTAACTCATGGCTGGTTTACAAGGCATCTGAAGCACTTCGTGCCAAGTTGATGGGGAGAGGACACAGGCACCGAGATTCACAGATAAAATTAGCTTTGAGGGAAGTAGTCGAGGCGGCTAAGTGTTTCGAAGCCACCACTTACGCCAACCAATTAATGAAAACCGCCAGAGGAAACCAGAAGCAAGTAAACTTCGCAGGCAGACAGAAAGTGGAAAAGGAAACTGTCAAACGATCATAAGCTCCATGCTACTGGTGTAGTGGTAATCACTGAGAACCAAGACAACAGCATTGCCCTGCCTACAGGAAAAGATGCAATAATTGTGGCATCATCGGGCACTTTTCTCGGGCTTGCAGAAGTAGGGGAGGTCAACTCCGTGGAGGTCAACCTCAACGACGAGAAGTCAACCTCGTAGAAACTGAACAAGATGAAGAAACCTTCGCGAGTGAGGCGACACCAGCGTCATCCACTGGTAAGAAATCAGCAACGAAATTTTTCGCACACCTTCACCTGGGTTACAAGGGAAAGACGAAAGTCGTCAAGGCACAAATTGATTCTGCCTCTACGTGCAATACCATACCTGAAGGTTCACTTCACAAGCTGTTTCCTGGTATCAGAATCTCGGAATCAAAGGCTTCAATTAGCACATACGGGAATCAAATCCTTCACCCAAAGGGACAAGTAACTCTGTGTTCTGAAAGGAGATGAAAATTTCACACTCTAAATTTCCTCGTGGCGGATGTCCCCCAGGAAAAACCACCTCTTCTCAGCGGGAGTGATGCACAAGCTCTTCAGTTCTTAAAAAGTTTTGCAGACGAGGCTCATATGGCTGATAATGTCGTAAAGAACCCACCTTCGCATCTCGCACTGGGGTCAATCACTAAACAAGACGTCCTTCAACACTACGCGAACATCTTCGAACCAGGGTGTGGGAAGCCCCTCGGAAACCCTCTGCACATAGAAATGGATTCCAGTGTTACACCGGTCCATCCTCTCAGACGTCGTATTCCAATGTCCAAGCTCGATAAAGTTAACGAAGAGTTATCAAGACTCTGTGACAACGGGACAATTAAGCCAGTCATGCAACCCACTGATTGGCTATCGAACATACTCGTAAAGCGGGAGAAACCGAATGGAAACATCAGGATAGGTATAGATCCCAGCCAAACGATAAACAAAGCGCTCCGCAGACCCGTGTACACTATTCCCACGATCGAAGAAAAGCTCCCTCTCTTGAAGAATGCCAAAGTATTCACCATTGTAGATGTCTCGGAAGCTTTCCACACGATTGAATTGGACGACGAATCCGCGTTTCTTACCACCTTTATGGGACCAAATGGCCGATACTGCTTCACGCGAATGCCGTTTCGCATCTCATCGGGACCCGAAGAATACCAACGACGACAGGCATGAATTTCTTCATGGGCTCCCTATTGAGATCGATACGTATTGTGGATCAAAATATAACAAGACAGCAGGAACCTGGTCTCTAACATTGGTAGCGCCTGGTTAATTTTAGCTTTGGAAATGAGATGGCGACCGTTAGCTCACATTTTCTCTAAATATTCCTGAAAGGAAAAATGAACTAGCTATTTCTCGAACATCTCTTTCACAGTAAGTTTTGCTCATGGGATCAGTTGTACATCATGGTATTTATTATTGGAAGGAGTACCATATAACCCCATACAGTAATTATGTATTCCACTTCGTTGTCTTTCACGACAAAACTTTAAAAACAAAGTCTACTAGTCTGAATGCATAATTAATGTATGGGGTTATATGGTACTCTTGCAGCCATGTTGACTTTGTAACCACGTCTTGATGTTTCCAGGCTCCACGAATATTACACTGAGGTACCGGGCCTCTTAGTTCCAGACTCCTTCTCCAATTTTTTTTTTTGTTTTTTGTTTTTTTTTTTTCTCCGACCGGCCAACCCAAAAAAAAAAAAAAAAAAAAAAAAAAAAAGAGGATGGCCTTATCTTCAAAAAACGGATCCAAGGATAATCCATCGTCCAAAAGCAGAAAACCGTTTAGAGCTAGAAGTCAGAATGATCTTACATGCTCCTCTTGAGACTGCAATCCGGTAAGCCAGCGGACTTCCCAAAAATATCCACGTGATCATACCCGTGGTCAAAAACAAAGAAAATTCCATTTGGCGCTCATCTTTGAATGTACTTTTCATCGGTTGATCGCTTTTGCGTTTAGCTAATTCCTTTGTCGACTGTTTTGCTTAATATAACATCTCTAAAGATGGGGTTTACCGTTGTTCAATGGGAAAACGAGAACAGCGTGAGTGAGTGAGTGAGTGGTATAAATAAAAAGCAAGTCGTTGGCGCCGTGGAGTGAAAAGAAGGGATATAAGTTCACATATCGATTGCCCGGTACAAGGGTCGAGCGGCTATTTATAAAGCTGCGATTTTGAAAGTTTGTGGTGAGCACAAATTGCGATATTCGGTACGTGATCAAAACTGGGAATCGAATCGGTCACTTGCTTGCCACAGTTTCTTAAGCTTACCCTTAACAATGAAATAAATCTATCAATAAACTGAAGGTTTCAGGATTGTTTTAGTCACGTTTGACGAGCTGCGAGCCCACCAAAAAAAGACAAACGGCTGCTTATTAGTCTGCAGTGTAGGATAACTTCATTACAATTTATTGTTACAGTTACAACAAGATTTTAATTAAAAAATCAATTAGTCAACTGTAATTAAGCCCTTCACTACCACGAGTGTTAAGTCAAAATTGAGTAGAAATCTTTGAATTTCAATTTGCAGAATCGACAAAAACAAACAGTATAACATGAAAATGATGCTTGACAGCTTACATTTGAATTTTATATCACCACACCAGAGTTTTACAGTATTGCAAGCATACAGCTATATATACTGTATTATAGTCTTTGGTGCAAGTAAAGTGGAGACTTCATTCCAAATTCATGGAGTTTGCATATTCCCAAGGACCCCAAGAAAACTAACTAGCAAATAACTTTCATGGGCCATGAAAATACCATGGAGAGGCCATGAAAATTCAGGGATCATTTCCCACGCACGAGATCACTGTGTGGTGGATGTCCTCCCCTGGGGTGGAGTGGGTGGGTGTTGCACAGGGCCCCATTTAACCAGCTGAGTGCTGAACTGGGCTCCCCTGTCTAAATATTTGCAAATACATACATGAATTTTTTGACATGAAATTCATGGGTTTTCCCGTACCTTTGAAAAGGCCATGAAATGCCATTTTCATGGGTATTTCATGGCTTCTAGGTCACCTTACATAATATTTTATGGGTCGTGAATATGAAAAATGTTCACAGGTTTTTCATGGGATTTTTCATGTCCTTTTCATGGCATTGAGACCACGAAAATGCCATTGATTTAACCATGAAAATCCTGTGAAAAATCTGTGAATTTACTATGAATATTTTATTTTATAATTATTTTAACCCTTATAATTATTTTAACCCTGATGATGGCAAACAGCCAAAAACGTTTGGTTTAAAACATTTTAACCTTTTAGCCTTGTATATAGAATATATTTACCATGAATAATTTCACAAGATTTTCATGGGTTTTGATTTCATAGTGATAGGCCTAAATGTTTGTAAACTGTGGATTGAATGCCCATTTTAAGATTTAATCAGGTTTAATTAACTTTATAAAGGCTGATAGTTTCGAAAGAAACTGTTTGGGGCTGCGTCGGTGGGAGTAACGAAATAATTTGGATATATCAACAAAGTTGAAATGGTAAATTGGCCACCATAATGATTACAAAAGCTGACGTTTTGAGCGTTTCGAGCGAATCGCTCCGATGAAGGGCTAACGCTCGAAACGTCAGCTTTTGTAATCATTACGGTGGCCAATTTACCATTTCAACTTTGTTGATATATCCAAATTATTTAATTAACTTTGCCTACCTCTGGGTTTTAACATTAGAGAAGTCTTGTGGCTTTTTAATTTGGTTTTTTAAGAAGGAAAATTGTTATATGTTCAATACATTTGGCTGGCTTATTGTCATTGTAATAAACATATTACCACTGCATCACAGTGTACATTTAACTGTCTTACAATATGCCTTGAGTATACTTGGAGTACACTTCATAGGGAAGTGTACTCGTAGTATACAACTTGCTTAGTATACTTAAAATATACTTTTGGGGAGACCAAAAGTATAGTACTTTAAGTATACTTCTGAAAGTATATTTAAGGTACAGATGAAGTATACTTTCAAGTACCATTTGAAGTATACTTTAAATATCCTGGATTTCTACAAGGGGTTATTTGTGCAAATAGAGCACAGTACTTCAATCTCATTTTTAAATATAAAACTCTGAAGTTATCATATCAACTGAAGGTACCACTCAAAAGAAAGAATTGTACCACAAGTATCTAGTGAGAAATCAAATTAAAAACTGTTAATACTAAAACAAGGAATGACCTAAAACCACCTACAACCACCTTCAGAATACTATTGTGACAATTTGTTGACAAATTTCAATGTGAATGCACACCGGAAATGTTGTCGCATGTCATGACAAGGGAAAAACACAAAAAGAATTGTTTACACAGGAGCAGCACCAAGAGCCTTGAGGTTTTTCAAGTAATAGATAGACTACATTTTCTAGGTCTGCTTTTTTCAATGTCTGTCTTAGGTCAACGGGACACCCCCAGTTGCAGGAAATTTGATGACGATTTTTACAGCTGTGTGAAATATATGGCTCCATTTCTGCATTCTGCTGGCAGGTTGCCACTTTGTCACTGGAAGAGTGACAAAGTAACAATGGGGAAATTAAAATCAAGAACTAGAATTGGAACAAATTAATGCCAGCATGTCGTGGGTTCCGAGAGCTGATTGACTCAATCTATTTTGCATTTGTAGGGATGCTGCTTGTAATTGCGGTAATTTTAGGGAATTTATAAGCTACATGCATCTCAACATTTCCAGGGTGCATTTACATTGAAATTTGTCAACAAAATTGTATTCTGAAGGTGGTTTTAGGACATTCCTTGCTTTAGTATTTACGAACTAAAAACATGTCAGCTGCCTAAAGCACTGGAATAGGAAAGTGATAAGTTGATCATGATTGGTTTTAGTTTTGAACCCGATTGGTTGAGAAAGTGGTGTGAGTCTTCTCAGTGGACCAAATACGCAGCAAAGTATTCAATCCAAGGCCCAATCCCTGATTACTTGACTTACCCCTGGTGCTCTTTTCAATGGCTTTGATGACATCGCGCCTTTTTAAGGCCTTAAGGTGATCAATCAATTCACCAACGGTTAAATTGGGGTAATGAACTTTTACAACCTCAAACATCTTCTCTGTGGGATTGCCAGCATAGCAGTTTTCAAACTTCCTGAAAATGTTCCTTGGTATGTTTAACTTAGGGGCCAAATCAGACCATTTTTTAACACCAGATTTCTGAATATCTAACAGGTAGGCAATTTCACCGATGATATCTGGATCACTGTCAAACAGACTGGAAACCAATGTTTCATCATTCAGTGCTGCTGGATCACCTAAAAAACAAATGTCTTACATTGCATGTTAATGTAAAAAGAATCCATTCATCTGAAAAATGTTGATTAGTCAAATTAATTTTAAACAAAATGTATATTATTTTTTTCTTGAACCATGTCAGATTGGTACATATTGACAAAAAGCAATGAAGAAATAACTGCAAATTGATAAAAATCAAAGAATAATAGCATAAAGAATGCTAGAGGTGTTGTTGTAATAACTTGATTAAAATGCCCCTTCAAATAAACCTACATTTTTCATGTAGAATGAGTACATTGATAACATCAAGCCTCTGGATTTGTCTCAGCCCATCCTTGAGACAACCAATTGTGACATCAGGGTCAGAAGTTTGTAAATATTCAAACATAAGTTCTGTAGGACTGAGAACAGGTTGATATTCAAACCTCTGGTACTCCTGTTCTGAGATATGGAAATGTTCAGCAAGATGTTTCCAGTATTTGCACTGGCCATATTTATATTCTTTGTCCAAACTTCTACAAAGGGCCTCCAAAAGCTCCAGCCAACCTAATAAGGTCCTTGTAAGAGGATCATCTATTAAAATTGACAAAGGAAAAATAGATAGTTATTAATAACTTGTTGATTATTTGAATTTGTGACTGCAGTTTCAGAATTACTAATTATTGTGAAAAGTTAAGTGTGCTGAGGGCTGTCACTGATGCATTGAAAGTTCCATAATCGTTGTATTATGCTTCTCATCCTCAATTACCAATTTTTCAAAAGGCAAGGTAAGCAAATTACTGGCCAAGGAAGACCAACTAATTATTAATTTAAAATATTTAATTAATAACATAACATGCATGATATTCAAGCTGCCAATTAATTAAACATTCAAATAAGTGTTATATGAAGCATTGCCTTGTATGTCGGTAAATCACTTCCATCTTAGTGAACTGCTCTCAATTACTGGGTAAGAATTAATGAAAGTTGTGAATTACAAAACTAAACAAACTATCAAAAAGCATAAAAAACACAAGGCAACTTCAAACACCACCTGAGGTAATGTTGAACATGCATCTATCAATACGAAATACCACACCGAAATGACCATTGAGCATGGGGTTCTGCTCTGCTTTGATAAGTCATTAATTGACTCCTCAAAATCTGCAAGAAAACAGAGTATCCATTTCATCATTACCTAACTTGTAAGTCTTTTTACACCCGTTTGTCACAGAGATGGAGTGTTTTACTTCAGGATGTTCTTCCTTCCTTGGACTTTGTAAGCTTGGTGGCCTTCCTTCATCACGGTTCTGTCCATTTTGGAACAGAGCACCATTTTCAAGACTTTTTAGGTCACTAGATGCTCCTTGGGCCTCAAGGCACCTCTCAGGTGAAGGAAGTAATGGGTATTGTGAACCTTTTGGTGGACCTCCTGGTGCTAATGGAGCCTCCAGTGGGTTCCTCTGAATTCCAAAAGTTACCAAAGGTCCCTGAGGTACCATGGTTGTTGGAGGTACCTGGAATCCCTGAGGTACTGATTCGTTCTGGTTTCTCTGGAGTGCTATTGCTCTCTGGGGTTCCTCAGCTGCTGATATTTCTCTAAGTTGCTGGACAGTGGACACTTCTTGGTTTCCCTGGATTCCTTGTGCTACCCTTTCTTCTTGTTCAGCATCTTCCACTCGACCTTGCTGACCTGCTGGTCCTGTTGGTTCTGCTTGGACTTCTTCCTCTGAGCCACCTATACCTGTTTCAGGGCTTTGTTCAGGAGCTGAGAACTCTCCAAAGGGCTTATTTTCCAAGTTCATCGCGTAGAAAATTCTTTGACAATCTACACTGTTGCCCAAATCTTCAGATCGACACGAGTTTTCAATTGGACTGGCCTTCTCATCTGAAAAAAGTTAAATATTAGAAATACTTCAATTTCATTGGTTAGAGGGCCAGAAAAAACTAGGAAAGAACATAGAAAAACAATTTTCCAAAGGATCTTGATAAATGTGAAAGTTGAAAGGAGGATTTAGGGTTTGATCCTTAAATCTTGTTTTGAATATCCTCGAATGTGAACACTCACTGACAGTGAACAGGTAACCTTCCCTTACAACAATTATCCTCTCCTCTCCTCCTATTAATTTATATTTTCTGAAAGGCTCATACAGTGTACAGGAATTGTTAGTGTATCCTTAATGCACAAGATAAGATGGAAAAAGGATTGATTTTCTGGGAAACCCAACATTACCTTGTCCCTCAATTTAATCAAACAATATTTAATCAAACAATATTTAATCAAACAATATTTAATCAAACAATAATTGTCAATCCAACACATTACTCAGTAGCTTAATATCCAGCAGAAATAACACAGTTCAAAGCTATCATTATAAATAATGCTTGCAAAGAATTAATTACTATGTCGAAAATTAGATAATAATTTCTTTTAAATGAATGCTCCTTTATTCCAGACCTCCTTTAAAGAATGGTACCCTTCATTTCCCCTGTAACATTTTGCTTAAAAGCCTTAAGGGTTAAATCATATTGTAGGATGGGATGAAGCAAGGGAGAAGCAGTGGATTATCTCAAGGAAACTGGGCATTAAATTGTGGAGGCATCCATCAGTTAAATATACAGTCTTTTTTTCATGCATCGTAGATATTTAGCACCCATCATTAAGTTAACACACAAAAGTTTGCCTTAATTTCTGTACTACCTGTACTATTTTCTCCTGAATTCTCTTTTTTTTCTCCTGACTCAGCCAGGTCAATTGCACAGGGTAGTGTTCTCAAATTCTCAGCACCATTGTTGCCATCATTTTTTGATTGAAAACCTGCCACAAACTGATCTAGGCCTGAAGGTGAGGCTGCAGGCTGAGGGAAATCATAATTGCCAATCTTGTCATTTGCCTTTGGTCTTTCCTCACTCTTCGGATCTAGAAGTGGATAAATCCCACCTACTGCACCAACAAGCCTTTCACTTTCTCTCTCATTATGTCTCTGAATTGCTGTTGATATAATTAATCGGGTTCAATGTTTGGAAAGGGCCAAGGACACTGAATAAAGTATATGACATTAATCTCCTACTAATACTTGATATGAAACAACAGGTTTGTCTTTCCAAAACAGTAACAATGCTTTTACGTATAGTCCCACTGCAATGCTAACAACTTCAATCTGGAAATTGCTAGTGATATCTCATTAAACTAAGTCCAGAAATTTCCAAGATAACCTAAGACTATACAAAGAAAATTAAAAACAGTCTCTTAGACTGATGCAAAAATATCAAGTTGGCTACTATATGTAGAGTTCTATTTCACTCAGGTGTTTATTATCTGGGGGTATACTAAGAAGAGGGTGGTAAGAAGTCTTTGTATTCAATGAAATGAATTATTTTTGCCAAAAAAAATGAACGAATGGTCTAAGCAAATGGTTTCAATTTTTGATTTGATAAGACCTAAAAAATTGTTTCCTGCATGCATGAGATCTAAGCAATATGTGGGAGACCTCCAGAAAAGCTTATAAAGTACTTGCCTTCAGCTTGTAATTCAGAAGCTTTCCCCATTTTTTCCTAACATTTTAAGTGGCTTTATCAAGTGTTAGAGCCCAGAAAAAATGTGTTCTATTGCTTTATGACATAACTAGTTACAATGCCAGCTCTGATAAACATGATAAAACATCCACTTGGAAACTGAATTGACCAATCAGAGAGTCCCCTATACTTTTTATGTGAAGCATGATTGGGTGATTTTTTTTTTCTCATGAATCTTGATTTGCATTTTTTAATTCATGAATCACGATTAAAGATGGCAAGATCTTTTCATTTCCATGTGAACATATTTTTTTGTTTGAATGTGAGCTGCAAATTAAGAACTGAATAACAAGATTCCCAATTTGTTTTGCTTGATGAATTTCTGGCTATTTTATTGTTTTAAGAATGTACCCATTGTTCTCAAAGGGCTGTGGTTAGGTGTTGAGAGGAGATGGACTTCATGTGGATCAATAACAGTTTCAAAACAGACCACTACTGGTTCTTGGACAAGATTAGACATTACATCATGGTTTGTTGCATAAGACTTGTCAAGACTTGATTGAAAAGTAAAATAGGAATTCGATGTTATTGTATTGAATTTTGCGTTATCATGAAAGAGCTTTGGATATTATTCGTGATGCCTGAAAAGGCCAAATACTTATACTTATATTTATGTTATGAAATGTTACTTATTGTCAACTGGGGGTGTGTTAATGACCAGCACATTCAGAGATCGGAAATAAATGGTGGTAAAAATGCTGGCACTTACTAGTAAACAATAACTAAATAATTCAATTATGTAAATCAGTGTTGCTTGAAAGCACCAAAGATCATAAACCCTCGTAACCACAAGCTACAGTAACTGTGGATTTTTTAAAGAATAAATCTATAAAATCAGCTATGCACAAATGCCCTAGATGTGGGCGTTGAGGCTTTGAATAATACTTTAATGGAAACTACAAAACAATTTATCTTACGAGAGAAATGAACGCCTCAACATTCCAGGTCAGTCGGTCTTAACAGTATCAGTTTTTTTAACCATCTGAAAGCAGTAGAAATAATAGTTTACACTTTCAAGAAAAATGGTAAAGCATAATCAACTTATTACCTGTTTCTAACCTGTTCCCGACAAAAACGGGCGAAGGCTGTCTGTTGTCACTGTTATCAAAGTTCAGCACTCCGGCAAACATCACACCTTGGAGAATGATGGCTCCAAAAGCAATCTCGTCTTTGGGAAATTCATCTTCCGCGAGGAAGCGCTTTCTCTCTTCATTTCGTAAGAAGTACCTCGGAAATCGCGACGGGTCTTCACGGGTTAGGACTGTGTCAAACTGCAAAAGATCGTAGACCTTGGTTCCAAACACAGGATTATCTTGTAGTCGGAATGCCTTCTTCCCGGAAGTCACTAACGTGAACAGTATACACTGTAGGTCGTTTGCCATCCGTGCTGATGAATTTTCGCCTTGTACCTCGACAACTTCCAAAGCACGACTAAACAAGTTGCTTTTACTAAAAATACTTCGTTTCAACTTGGAAAGCGCGATGAAAATCATTCCATCTGATTCAACGATGTCGTCAAGTGCTCGGCACAGCTCACCCTCTCTGATAGGACTCAGGGTCTTACGTTCGAGAGTTCTTCCGTCTCTTGCCCGAACAAATTCGGCTACGATCTTCACAGAGCGGTTTGGTTTGTTCTCAAAGGCTTCGAGCTGGATCTTTTTCAAGACTTCGGCACTTGCGACTAAGAAATAGCTCGACGCACGCTCTGAAATCGAAGTTTTCCCCGAAGAATTGGAAGAGAGAATTTTAGGGGTGCAAGTATCAGAGAAATGTACAAGGCAGCCAGGTCCCAAGTACTTTAGCATTTCATGCCCCTTTGTTTCTTCCACAAGCCGACAGACTGCTAGTGTGGTGTCACTCCGAAACACCTCTGATGCGGAGGCCATCTTTGAGTAACTGACTGAGGATTTCAGAGTTTGCGACACTCCTGTGTGTTCTGCGAATTCAGTGACTTCCGGGAAATTCCCGCCAACCTCTATTTTTAAACTCATCATTAATTTGCTGTGACGTACGGTATCTAAGGAAACAGAATAAAGAGGTGTGGTTGGTGAAGAAAGGGTGGAAGAGGGTCGGAAGAGAGATAATAATTGAGGTGTAGAGAAGACTTTCTGAAAAACTCTCAAAAGTGTGACCACCACGTTTGGGAGACATACAGTTCTGGCTCAAGTTAATCATCGAATATAGCACCATTACCTTCTTTCTTTGTTGACGACGCTATTTTTTAAAGTTTTGATTATATCTTGTTCTTCCAGGCAGTGTGATAAACAATTTAGTTGCAACTTGAAAATTCTGTTTTGAGAACGAAAGTTTAACCCGTGCACCGGCCGATGGATGTAAGTGCCATCGAAATTCTGCGGTCTTTAGATAAGAAAAACAGGCATATTATGTCGTTGTAGAGTAATTGCACTCATCTTATGAATGTCGAATTTCATGGCGACTAGATTTCTAATAAATCTTACATTCATTCAAACGTCTTCGCCGTTGAATAGACGTACCTCATCCAAATTAATACCGACTTAACACAAAAATATGAACACCTGTTGTTTGCTTCATGAAAATAACCAGTAAACTAAACTGATAACTGGCAAGTTTCACACTTATTTTGGCCATTGAATTATCTTCGTCTGTTTCGATATGAAAAATTAGTGGTTCACACAAAATTCTTAATACCTGTTGTATGCTTTTGGAAAATTACCTCAAGCTGTAAGGGGCTGACCATTTAACTTTTGAGGGGGGGTGATTTTGAAGAAAAAATTTCCTGCAAGCGCTTGTTGGAAGAAAAAAATTGCATGCAGCCCAAATGTAACAGAAAAAATGTACCAAACAATCGGAAAAAATATCATGCACAGCAGATTGCTAGAAAAAAAATTTCTTGATGACCAGAAATCACCCACCCCCTCCCCCCCTAAAAAGTTAAATGGTCGGCCCCTAAGGTAAACTCTCCTGACACGATCAGGACAAACATGTACATGGCAACTACGTATTTAACCAGAAGGTATACTTTGATACAACTAGTGTTTAAAGGCCACTGAGTTTTCAGCGAGGTTTGACTTTTTCACGAGGTTCCTCTTTTCTTTAATTTTCTGAAGCATACAACAAGCAATGTATCATTTTTATAATGGCAAATTGTGTGATAAAAAAAAAAACTTGCAATATCAGTAGCCTGAAAATGACGCATAAACTAAAACTTGGTGAATGATAAACCCTTCTGCTGCTAATTTTCCATCAAAACATCTTAAACCCTACTGGATAAATCTACTTAGTCTGGCAAAGGAAAAAGGTTGTTTATCATTGTGTCGCCATGCTTCACACAGAAAACAGTAAACAAAACACAGATGTGGAAAACGGAAGCAGATTGATTAACGTCTCTAAAGAGTGACAACTACAGTTAATGGTTTAAAACAAGGGGGTGGGGGATGGGGTAAACATTTGATTGTGGGGCCTGATCGTCTGGGTGAAGGTGGTCCTGAGAAGGATTGGTGTGAGTTGTAGTGAACCCAAGCGGAAATCTTCTTTAGAGTCAAGTGATAACAGTTGATGTCAGTTGAGCGTTACAGGGGGGGTTCGTTTTAATTCCAATAAAGTTTAGCTTTTACCTGAACATTCAAAAGGGCTTTTACTTAAGTTCAAATTGTTAAGAATTCAGCTCATTCGTGTTCATATCCCCTTCTTGTTCACCATAAACAAATGGACCACGCTAAAAATTCTAAGTGGTTGTCAAGTGAGACACTACTGTTTCAAGAGCGCTTCATAACTCTGTGATTGTTTGCTGTCACGAAAGTGTTTCAGAGCGCTTCACAAGCCTTTGGTTGCTTGCTGTCACGCAAGTGTTTCAGAGCGCTTCACAACCCTTTGGTTTCTTGCTGTCACGCAAGTGTTTCAGAGCGCTTCACAACTCTTTGGTTGCTTGCTGTCACGCAAGTGTTTCAGAGCGCTTCACAACTCTTTGGTTGCTTGCTGTCACGCAAGTGCTACAGAGCGCTCCAGAACTTTTGGTTGTTTACTGTCACGCAAGTGTTTCATAGCGCGTTACATTTCTCTGGTTGTTTACTGTCACGTAGGTGTGTCAGAGCGATTCACAATACTGTGGTTGTTCATTATCATGCACGTGTTTCAGAGTGCTTTACCATCCTTTTAAAATCCACATTCAGGTCAGAACTTCAAACACGTGACATGCCTGTTGCAACCACGCAAGATGACAATTTGATAACTTAGCACTGTCATCAGTGTTATAAGTGGCCGCAAGTGCATTCTTTGCTCGTCTTATCCTGGTTTCTAAAGTACCCAACTTGCAACCTTTGTTGTCTTTACTTTCCATCAAAACCAAATTCCTGTTTAGAACCAGAGGACGCAGGCCAAAAGCCGAGTGCTTTAAATCGATTCACTTTTCTCCTTTGCTTCTGCTATTAGCTATCTCTGTTATCCGAGCAAGTACACTGTCCATCATATCCAGAGAGTACAAGCCTGATTGTAAAGCCTTCCGAAAAAACAGACAAGTATCATCACTGTAATAAACACTCTT